GAATCCCCGACGCATGATATATGCCAGTAATAAGATTGGGGAAGATCAAAGTATGTCTCGGGTCGGGATCTGTCACCACAAAGCATATGAGATCATAAATCAAAGATCCTAAGTCAATCTTAAACCCACGTGCAAGATGATAAAGTTGAATGGCTTTAGGTTGACTAATAGTCGTGCGATGCGAACTTGGATCAATGTTGTAAGTGATGAGTTTATACAAAATCACAATGGAATCTGTCAGGTATCGGTATTCAAAGTCATGTCCCAAGAGTGGTCATGCATCTTCTCTCCCATATAGCATCTGTGTGACAACTGCCATTTCTGCATCTATTGGCATTGTTACAATATTATCTCGAGTGAGGTCGTAGTAGGCCTCAATCACTTCGGGAGAGAACATTATCCATTTGTCTCGAATCCATGTCTGATGCATGTGCTCAGTCCTCGGAGTGTCCAAATCTTCATTAAAATTGGCGTAGAACTCCCGCACCAAAGTAGGGTAAACATTCTGAGGTTCGCCTGCAACTTTCTCCCAACCTGCTAACCAAATTAACCGGGTCAATTCAAACCCCCCAAAGTCTTCCAATATTACTTGGCGTTTTGGCCAAACATTCCGTATTGAGACCACGTTGTCAAATCTGGCTTTATGCTCAAATGTTAAAAACCTTCTCATGCCTCCTTCGTCAAGTCGTGTTCGGGCTATGCTAGAAGATCCTATGACCTTTTCCTTGCCTTTGGAGGTGGAAGGAGCAGTCTTTCGTTTTGGGGCCTTATCAGTCAACATGTTGGAAAAACCGCAATTAGTAACATGAGATAGTAAAACAAACATGAATGAGCAACATAAGTCGGTGTTTAGTAGCCCCATGTTTCATAAAATACCCACAAGATGAAGAGTGCAACAATACGAAGTGTCAATATATATACGAAATATATGAGATATGAAAATCATGCAAAATTGAGATAAAATGCCAATAAGGCAAGCAATCGAACACCTTACGTGCATAGGTCTAGAAAGTGGTGAAAATTTCAATGTTCTTATGTATAGTCCACATATTCCACAAGCAAATCATCCACCACCATATAACAATGTTCATATTCCACAAAGCTCAACAATCTCCAACAAAATGCAAGAGTGTAAAAATTGTTCGAAATAGTAAGAACATAGCAACGTGCTCTTGAGGATTGTAGGCGGGGTAACAACACAACAATGGTTATTTATGTGTGTGTGTGTGTG